TATCTATCTATCTGTCTGTCTGTCTATCTGTCAATCTATCTATCTGTCTGTCTGTCTGTCTGTCTGTCAGTCTCTCTATCTATCTATCTATCTATCTATCTATCTATCTATCTATCTATCTATCTATCTATCTATCATCTGTCTGTCTGTCTGTCTGTCTATATATCTGTCTGTCTCTCTCTCTGTCTGTCTGTCTGTCTGTCTGTCTGTCTCTCAAACTACACATTTTATTACATCTGTATGACAACTGAGAAAAGATTATATTCTTCTATCGCAAGATGGCGCTATGTCACCAAACTTCTGTATTTCTATTTGACTCAAACCTATTTAAGCTTATTTTTTAGTAAAAGAAACATGATGCATTTTTTTATTTTGTTGGGGTTTTATTATTTATTTATTTTAGAGTATAAAATTTCTATAAATCATTTTTGTAAGTGTGATCAGTCTGGAACACTTTTTATTATTAAATTCGATTAACTATTATAATGAAATTGAAGCCTCATACGCATTAATGCATTATGGAAATCAATTCGTTGATTAAATGGACTGTTTAGGGCATTTGGTGAGTGACAGCGGCCCCTCAGCGCCTAGGCTCCGCCCATCGTGTATTCGTGTGTGTGTGTGTGTGTGTGTGTGTGTGTGTTGTCGGGGCCTCCGGCTGCTCAGTCCACATTTCCCAGGCGCATCATCAGAGCTGACGTGGGCTCTACGTGTGCAGCGAGTCGGGCTTCCTCTGCACCCGTAACGAGTGACGAGACTCTACGTAAAACTCGGGTAAGTTATTGCTGGCATTTCGATCTGCCGCCGCCCGCCAGAGAGGATCTGGAGATGAGCGCATAAGACGAACATGTAGCTGCTATTAAATGAGTTTCTCAGTGTAATATGTGCAACGAGGCGGAGCTGTCTACGACGCGGTTCCTGGTGTAACCTGCGCGTTAAACTACTGCTGACGAGAAAAGAAACCTGCCAATAACAAAAAGCGCGCAGATTTCATATTCTGAGTGTTTTTAAAAATAATAATCAGCGTTGCTGTGAAATATAATCTAAGTAACAAAGCAAAAAGGTCAAGTTAAATGCAGTGTTGGCGATATTAAAAATTAATTGAGGTTGTGGAGAATGACGCAGCTTGGTCAAGGACTATGCAAATAAATACAGTAGACAGCTTGCCTTAAGAACCTAAAAGCTTTGCCAGTTGCTTTACTGTCCAGTATTTAGTTGTAAGCCCATGAATGTTGCAGTTATGTATGTCATATCCTCGTGCCACCGATTGCTGTTACATAAGCGCGAGCTGTTCAAAGATTGCGCGCGTTTGTTCTGTCAGTCCAGCGAGGAAACAGAAGTTCAGCGAACACTGACATAATGCACCCTTAAATCAGCACTGGAAGGAATCATCTCAGCATGCTAAAGCAATGGAGTAAATTATGTTTCCTCATATTTCCTTAGAAGTTTGTGCACTGGCCAAGAACCGTTCAGATAGAATGAGGAAGTGCACGCGGCCGTTACAGCTCGCTGTGTGCGCGCGCAATTTTTGATCATTTAAACCAAGCCAGTATTGTATCATGATACATTCAATTTTACATTATCTGGGGGGTTTATATATAATTTTTTCATACTCTTTAATTGCAGTAATTTCACTTATGTTTGATGCATGTAAAAAAAAAAAATAGTGAAGTATAGTATAGAAATTAATTTATTTTCTCTTCAAGTTATTTTGGTAAGTTTCTCTTACCTACTCAAGCCCAATTAGTAAATAGTATTAAAAGGTTGATCCTCTGTTTTACCATAAATTTGTCATGCATTTTTCATTACATTAGGGAAAGCCCAATCCAGAAGTCCATTTACACTGTAAACAGATGAAAACCCCCCCTGTGCAAAAGAAGAAACTGCTTTCTTCAGTGCACAATGTTTCACAAATGCATGCATTTCAACACAAACACTCACAAACGCAGAGCAGTTTTATTGCGTCACATTTTGAACCACTAGATTGGCAGACATTGGGCTAAAATAATGGATTATTATGTTAAATGCAGTAGGCTGTTTAAAATCTTGTGACGTGTGACTCTACAGAGCGCTGACTGTGCATTTCCTGTCTGCTCTGTTGCTAGGCCGATCTCCATGGAAACTGCAACCAGAGCGCAACAGGAAGCCAATGCAACTGAGAAAGTAATAAGTGAGGTACAGTCAGACTCTGATTCACTCACACAGGTACAAGCCTTCCACAGATATGACACCTGTTACACAGATCATGCCACACTGAAACACAAATGCTTGATAAAGCATTATGTTTGAATAAACTCAGGAAAATGTTTCTAAATCTTATTTACAGATACTATTACACATTCCAGTCCTTAGCAAAAAAGTGCTGTGGTGGTACCATGGTACAGTGATGCTTGGTTTCAATTACTGCCATGAGATGGTTTGATTATTGTATTCATATACCATAGGATTTATGTGGATCTTCAGGATACTTAACATGGTAATGCATGGTAATTACCATAATAACATCATAATAATATGGTATTGCCATAAAAAACATAGTATTACCATAGTATTATTATGATACTGTGTCCAAAAAAACATGGTAATACCATGGTACTTGATATGTGGTTTCAGACTGAAATATTTACAGACTAAATGTTAAAAAAAGAGTTTGGTCGGCACCAATAGCCTTGTGGGCAGCGCGCCGACATATATCGCCGTTGCGCTTCGCTTTATAGTTAATAAATTATATTGTTCATTTTAATTTTAGTTTGAATTTTTGTAATTTTTTATGTGCTTTTGCTATTTTTATTTATTTTTCAAATTTTTTAAATATTGTTATTTAATATTTTAAGCTTTAATTAATTTTTTTATAATATATATAATATATTTTTACCAACAGTGTTATTTTAGTATCATTAAAATACAATTATAGTTTGTATTAGTTTGTTGAATCATTTTTATTTATTCAGTTTAATTTTTGCTAAAACTCTAAGAATTTTTTTTTTTTCATTTTTAGTCGTTTTTATTTTTACATATGTATTTATGTAGTTTATTTGTTTTATTAATATTTTATATCCTTGGCAATGGGCTGAAATAAAATTATTTTTATATTTTATTTTTATTATTATATTTTATTATTTTATCAGTTTATTGTTTATTATCAGTTTGATTATTTTATCAGTTAACATTTATTTATTTATTTTTTCAAGAAATGAATATTTTTTTTATCAGTTTTAATTTTAGTTTCAGTGTTCATCAGCTAAAAGAATTTAGCTGTCTAAGTTTTTCATCTAATATTTATGTTTTATGTTATTTCAGCTTTATTTCAATTCATTTAGCAACACTGGGCTAAACAGTGTCAGACATTTTTTACCATCCCTGTCTCTGTCTCTGTCTCTGTCTCTCTCTCAGGTGAATGAGGGTGTGTCTGTGGTGTCATTACCTGATGTACAGACACTACAGGTGCAGGGAGTCATTCAGACCACACAGCCCTCTGTTATCCAATCACCTCAGATACAAACAGTGCAGGTACACACATACAGGTTTTATGTGTATAGATGTAAGGCATTTGTACAGGACTAGTCCAAATACAAATCTTAGTAAAAGTGATCATTTATAAAGTCCACTCTTATTAAACCAAAGCGTGTGCTGATCTGTGAGCCATTGAAGCACAATCCTGTTATTCATTTACCTGTTCCTTTACCTGGAGAGACTGACCAATCACATTGCAGCAGTTAGAGCTGTAGCCAATCGCAGGCTGCGTTTACTCATCCTGGGATCAATGGGATGAAGGAAAAGCAGATTGACACAGTAACAACAAGAGTGAGAGTAGCTGAACGGAGCAGTAATGAGATTTGAGTAATGTGAGAGTCAATGCATCGGATCTTGTTGGTCACACGCACACACAAAGCCCACGTCAGACAAATCAAATCTGCTCAGGAGATGGCACGGTTGTTATCTCAAGAGAAATGCATTTTCTATTGCTTTTTAAAGGGCCCAAAAATTTAAGTTATGTCAATATTTAGGCACCCTTGTGTCGTATCAAACTTGTATGACTTTTTTCTATCATCAATATATCCCAAAATATATATTTTCAAAGAATGTCCTGGACAGTGAAGCCTTGGCAAAAAAAGCAGTCTATATAGCTATTATTCACTGATAATTTTCCCCTTCACAAATGCTTTTAAAGGCTCATTTGGAATTAAGATGTGTATATTTGTGTTTGGATGTTTTTAGGTAGCTGTTGATACTGGTGGATCGGGTTCAAACCCATCAGATCCTCAGAAGAGAAGGGAGATTCTGTCCAGACGACCATCTTACAGGTGAGATCAATTCTTGAGCAACATTTTTTGCAATATTTATGAACTATTATAGTATTTTTTAAATATTTTGAATTATTACCTTTTATTTTATATATCTTCAGGTTCTTCATCTAGTTGCCAAGACAACATTTCTAATATTATATTATATAGTTATAGTTGTCATGTAAATTGATATTTTATTTAATTTTAGCGTTATTTTATTTACTGAAAATGATTCGTTTTAATAGTTTTAAGTTAACAATAGCATGACCTCATGACCTGACCTGATCATGATATCATCCCTGCATTTAACAACAAAATACTCCAAATCCAATAATACCCAGAAATCCATACACCAACAACACACATAATGATTTTTTGCCAGAATTTCCTGAAATTTAGTGAAATATTCTGATTGTCAGATGAAGTAAATGTATTTACTTAGATATGTATTTTCAGGAAAATCTTTAATGAGTTGTCATCAGACGTACCTGCCGTGCCAAGGATAGAGGAAGAGGAGAAATTAGAGGAAGAAACCCTGGCCACCTCCAGTGTTGCTACGGTGATGGCACCGTCTCCAATCTACCAGACCAGCTCCGGGCAATACAGTACGCTTAAGTTCATTTCTCATAAACTATTATGTCTTTGTGCAGCATGAAATGTGAACTCTTAAAACTCTACCCTTAAAATTAGGGGGTTTGTTGTTCATCAGCCCATTCTTACGAAAGACCAATTCATTAGATATTGCGCAAATGTTTCCCAAATGTACTAAACCCTTATCATTTGCTATATACCAGGTGTTTGGGCAGATTCAAGACTAACTGTTTTGTGTCTGCAGTTACGATCACTCAGGGTGGAGCAATACAGCTGGCCGGCCCTGGAGGAGAGGCCCTGCAGGGGGTTCAGGCTCTGACTCTTCCCAGCCCCGCCACACCACAGCCTGGGGCCACTATCCTGCAGTATGGCGCCCAGCCTGGAGACCCCGGCCAACAGCTACTGCTGACCTCTGGACAAGTGCTCGTTCAAGGTAAGACACTTGAACTTTTATGAACTTTTCTAGGGAAAAAAATCTGTAGTTTTCCAACGCGTTATAATTGTTGTAATTTCAGCGATGTTGAAACACAAAAACAAAATGTGTGTATGAGCTGTGTTTGCTGAGACTGGGCTCTGAACTTGGAAGGACACTGAACTGAACGTTGCAGTGTGGGAAAATTGTTAGACTTGTTTTATTATGTGCTGAAGTGCCAGACTTTGCAGTAACTGAGAAGAAACTGGTTAAATTTGTTTTGATGTGACATTGACAAACTACGGCTGAAAATCTCCTTGATTTGCAAAGATAAGAGTTCAGCATGTGAACTGACTCACTATTGCTTGGAAATCCAACTTTGAATATGAGTTTTGGATAATACCATAGATAACTATAATAATAAATGTACCCTGATACCCTGGTACAGTCTTTGTGCTGAACATTGCAATAATCATTTTCTTGATCTGTATTTTGGTCCTGTTTTCCAGTAAAATATCTAAACATCCTTGGGATATTACATTTGTTTTCAGTGAGTATTTCAAATATTTTTAATTATCTTAAATGCATCTTACCATTTTGGCAAACAGTTTTTTCTTGTTATATTAGCATAAATCTAACATACAAATGCTAAATTTAGTGAGGTAGTTTAGATACATTTAAGGGTCGACCGATATGTGTTTTTCAGGGAGGATGCCGACGATTATTACAGATCAAGTAGACGATAACCGATATTTTGATCCAATATACGTCTGGTGTAAAAATGAAAATTAATGTCAAAATGAAGAATAATGCTCTGACAAAAACTTTCTTTAAATGCTTTTAAATTATTTTATCGGCAAATCAGTTTTGAAAAGGACGATACAGATAACCATAAAAATGCTTAATATTGGTGCCGATAATCGGTCGACCCCTAATACAAATATAAATATATTACTTAATTACTTTATAATATATAATTAATATAATATTTAATAAAGTATGATATTTGTAATTGTTTTAATATTTAATAATTTATACTAGTATACATTTATATTCTTTTTTTATATTTATGAATAAATAATATGTAATAATAATATAATGTGTAATATGTTTCTGCAAACAAAACAGTATACTGATAAAAACAGTGTGTTTTTATCATGATAACAGAGACTGTTTCAAATGACTGTTTCAGACCTGTTGAAACAGATATGAATTAAAGATATATTTGGAGTTATTTATGTATGTAAACAGTGTGATAGGATTACTAATGTGTGATTGTGTGTGTGTGTGTGTGTGTGTACCATTTCAGATGCCTGTGTTAGTGTTATGAGGTGAAATGGGCACAGTATCCTTTTGTTTGTGCTGAAATGCTTTTGCGTCATCATGATCTAAAAATACTGTACATCAAACTCAACTTCTCTTCTCTTCTCTTCTCTTCTCTTCTCTTCTCTTCTCTTCTCTTCTCTTCCTCTTCTACTATCAACTTAAATATTTAAATTCCATGCAATTGCACAGTTCATTAGAAGTCAGTTTTAATTTTCCTCAGGCCACCAATTTAAGCATGGATGTTTTATTACAAAGCAAGTGTCCTCTTTCACTCACTCACTCACACACACACACACACACACTCACACACACACACACACACACACGTGTGGGGAGGGCATTCTCCAGAGACAGTGTGTTATTTCCCTGTGAGACTGCCGTGATGTCATAGTGATGTCAATGCTCTTAATAGTAATCTGATAGAGAGAGAGAGAGAGAGAGAGAGAGAGGGAGGGAGAGAGAGAGAAAGAGGGAGGGAGAGTTAAAGGCAAAACACTTAGTGTCACAACTCAAACTAAGACAGTCAGAAAGAGTGTATGAGAGAGAAACTCACTCAACCAGCTGGAAGGAAGAGAGAGCTTTAAGAGGAAATAAAGAGGAAACATTGAAGATAGCGCTCAAAAGACAATTACAACTGGATTACTACAGCATAGAGATGGCAGTGACTGGGGAAGAGACGGAGTCAGGTGAGATAGAGTGTGTATGTGTGTGTGTGTGTGTGCACGCGCGCGCGTGTGTGTGTGTGTGTGTGTGTGTTTTATAAGGGAAAAGCCAGTGTGATGCTAATGTATTTATGTTTTATGCATTCCTGAAGTTTTGTATTTTTTCATTTGGTAAATAAGTAACTAACTAAATAAGTAATTTACTACTGGTAAATAGTAGCAGCTAAAGATGAAAAAGGAGAATTTCATTGTATTGTTTTTTTTATTGAATATGGGACATTTGGTTGAGTTTTAGTTACTTTTCACTTTTTTTTAGTAATTTTTAAATGATCCTGTGTAATCTCTCAATTAATATGAGTTCATATGATAATAATGCAAGTATAATAATAAGTATAATTTTTAATATAGTAATTATGATAAAGATTATAAAGTATGTAATATATAGATGACAATAGTTATGAAACGCTTTTACATTTTTAGTTGGAGTATAGGTTGTCACTGCAGAAAATGTCAGCAATTTCAAAAGTAATGTAATTAACATAATAACAATAGGCTGTAATAATAAAAAATACAGTGAATATTACTGTTAATAAGTGTTTGTTGATGTATTAGGTTCCTGCAATGCTAATAAAAAGTTTTATCGTGTGCAAAAGTTTGTAAACATTCTGAGAAAATCAGTCTACATACAGTGGAAGAATGACACATGTTTTTGTGCTTCTTTTGGTTGTTTCTTTTTATGTGGTTGAAACTTTCTTCTCAGTCATAAACACACTCATTGACATTTTGTGTTTTACGAAATCAGGCTGCCAAATCTGCCTGTCTATTCACACACATGAATCATTGAGAGAGAGACAGACAAAAGCAGCGAGAGAATGAGAGGGGGGAGGGACTTTCTGTTTGACGTCAGTCTGTTTCCTGGAAGCCGGCCGAAGCTGAGACGAAGGGAGAGGGAGAGGCGGAGAGGCGGGTGGGGGTTTGGGCAACGACGCATGTGGTGACGTCAGCATTTTGTCATATTTTCTGATAACAAACGCACACACATACACATCAAGTCAAATCATATCCAGTTTATTGAAGGACATTACTGCTGGGAACATTGTCTGATAGCAGCATTAAAACTGACTGTATTGTACAGTACCAGCAACTTTTTTGTTGTAGCCTACTTAAATGTGCTTTTTCATTGTTGATTTAGGTGTTTTTAATGTTGTGTCGATTGAGTGGATGTGAAGTCTTTTATGTAACTGCTTGTTGATATTGTTTTGGATTTATTGCATAAACTAACGAATCCAATTAGACTTGCTTTTTAAGCCTGGTCCCAATAGAAGTCACAGCTGATTGGTTAGATTCAGTGTTATGTGCCTTTTTATTGGTCAGATGAAATATACCCGGTCAATGGATAATTTTCAGTAAGGGTCTTTCTTCTCTAGTTTTAGCACTAAACAGAACTGCAATAAATAAATAAAATAATATATGCTATTTACTCAAAATAACAACTTATTACTTACACTGCTCCCATATGGTTGGAAAAAAGTTTTAAAAAAATATATAATTATTATCAAAAATAATAATAAATCATACACTTGTAATTATGTAATTAATGAATTACTTATACACTTGTAATTACATGTAATTATGCACAAGAACCAGAATTGCAAAAATAATGATCATTTTTATTTCCTATTTTAAAAACTTACTTTGTGGACTCTTGTTTGCTTCCATATGTTTGGAAATAATAGTAATAATAATACATTTCATGAATAAAATTATTATTATTATTTTAATTACTTTTTTGATGTCTTCGCACGAGTATATATATATATATATATATGTCACCACTGATCTTAAGACAGAGATGTTAAGACAGATAACATTTAAAAAATATTGTTTGTTACACCTTTGACCATTTATTGGTAACATTAACATTTTAATTTCTAATGGATTAATGTTACTATGATTAATTAAAATGTTACCCATTTATCTGTCAAATAATGCATTTTGGTGTATATTTGTACATGCAGCTGCCACAGGAGACATGCCAGCATATCAGATCCGCTCCCCGTCGTCAGGGTTACCACCAGGAAGATTTTAAAAAGTGTCTCATTGTTTTTTTTTGACCATACAGTGCAAGACAGTGGAGGGAAGTGTTGTTTTGGACCTCACTGTCTTACATTGTGTAGACAAAACCAGTTCTTCAAAATATCTTCTTTTGTTTTCTGCAGAAGAAAGTCATAGTTTTGGAATTACATGAGGGTGAGTAAATGATGAGAATGTTAATTTTTGGGTGAACTGTCCCTTTAAGACTACTCCTAACTCCCTTTATTATTATTATTACAGATTTATTAATTTAGTACTCTTTTATTCAATCTTTAGAATGAGCACACCTCCGTTAATTGGCTGTAAAATGACGTTTTCAACATTAATAATTTGTTAAAATGTTTTACTATACTATCTCAATATGTAGAGACAAACTATAAACAAGCCATTTGAAGGTTGACTGCTCTGTTTGTTTGAGCATAGCAACATTGCCTCAACCAATGGGGTGATTTTGAGGCGGAGCTATGTTTGTTTAACCAATGAAAGATGGGGGAGTGCTCTGGAAACCTGTTTGAACATGTTTATTATTTTTGCAAATCCATTTTTGGAAGCTAGAGGCAGAGAAATTACTCTTGAGCTTTAATGCTTTGTTTATTTGTGCTCCAATTCATATAAGATGAGGAACAGTACATGACTTTTGCATAAACAAAGGAAAATGGTGTAACGATGAACTGTGAACATGTTACTTAGGTGAATGTCACAAATGTTGCTTTTGATGTAATATTGTATATTATTTTAAATCTCAGCGATTTGTCTTTGCTTATAACAGTAGAAGAGAATTGTGAAAGAAAGGAGGCTTTTGTGAGTAATTAAGAGTGCATATACGCTAAATTAGACAGGTGGCATTAACTGAACAGAAGTCCTCATATTTCAGCTGTTAAGATGCCGGTGTGTGCGTTTGTGTCTTCTGTTTCTCAGACTGCTAGTCATCATGACTTTATCTTCACTTACAGCCAATCAAGTTTATGTTTCAAGGATGTACTATTCTGTGTAGGCTGGGCAGAAAATGGATTTGGTTTAATATTTAAAGAGCTTATGTTTTCAATTAATCTCTATTAGATTGATGTTAATACAACATCCCTGCCCTTCTTTAACACTGTACAGAGTGCTGACATCTATTTTTAATAAAATATTTTTGTAAGTGTATATGACCTACCTACATGGTCAGACCTGCATTTTGAGAAGCACTATTCATTGTGTATGTGTGTACCTAAAAATGTGTATCCAGAAATGCCCTAAATCCGACAAAAGAGTTAGGGTTCGGCTGTGGTATTTAGAGCTGTAAATAAAACCAGTAGAAGTCTATGAAATGTCCCCAAATAGATTGCAGTTTTTCAACCTTAAAATAATAATAAGATTCATGCAACAAATCAAGTCAGTGACCAAGCCAGTGAGAATTTTGTGTTGCACTTTTTCTAAAGTATCAGCATTAGATGCTTTGAATGATCTCCATGCCTAGTTAGGCTGGTCTGTTGGCTGCTTCAGATGGGTTTTAGCCACTTTTCAAATGATAAAGCTGGGAGACCAGCTTGCTAACCAGCTAAACCACATGAACACCAGCTGGGCCCAACTGGGAGACCAGTTTGAACCACATAAAAGCAGCTTAACCTACTTAAAGATGGTTTCAGCAGGGTATACTCATCAATAATGCAAGTTATATCTTTCAGCGCTACTTTGGTTTCTTCCTCTCTCTCTAGAAAATTCTTACTTTTTAACTTCTATGTAAATAAATGAATTTACATGTACAGGTGTCATGCATTTACAGCTGCTCTTAAGCTTTATCGGAGTGTTGAATACTGCGTGTTATAATACACTGGGTGTATCTGAGCTGTTTTGATTTTTGTAATCAGAAAGAATATATTTTATATCTTTGAATGATCTTACATGAGTGTGTCGAGTTGCTTGAGCGCTAGAATGTGCTGTATCATGCGTTTGGCACAAACAGGCAGACATGGAAAATTCCACCGTGTGTGAGAGCGCCCTCTACTGGAACACTGGAACACTACAGCTCGCAAACGGGGTTTCTGTACGGCACTGTCATCTAGTGGACGTTCAACAGCAAGTGCTTAAAAATGATTTCTATGTTTGTACTAGTAGGCTACTGCACATGCACACAGACATTACTTCATACGGGACATGCATAAGAAATCTTTAGACGCGTAACACAAACCATAATACATAACAACAAAAGACAATACTTTATTTAACCTTTTCTGACAAGAAGTATGCGCTGCAGACGCGAGCATTTTTGACTATCGTTTCTGTCCAGTCCGCTCGCTGATAACGTTTTATCGCATTTAACCACAGCTGTCGTCGGTTTTTTTTTTTGTCTGGCGGTGGCAGCAGGTATGCTTTAAAATTGGAGCCTCTACTACGTCGATTCTGGCACCCAACATCACAATAAGACGATGTTTTAAGCACCTTATGTAGCTGAATCTGCGCTGGTTTGAAATGGCCGCCTCCAGTTTTCCCCTTTTTTTTCTTCTTCTTTTTTTTCTTGCATTGCTAAGAACATACACCAACAATGCCAGGGGTACATACAATTGAGAGTACAAATGCAGGTTACAAAATCAGGAAAATATCGTACAAATGACACAGTGAGACAGTTTTAGGGGCTTTGGAGTTGCTGGATGTAAGGAGAGTGTCCAGATAGGATTTAAGTTCCTTATGAAAAATAAAAAAGTAAGGCTTAGCACCCTGAAATTTACATTTATGTAAGAAAAATTTCGCTAGAAAAATAAACAAATTTATCAAGAAATATTGGTCCTTTGCATCTTTATCAAAATTGTGCTGACCAAATAAATCATCTTTGTATAACAAAGAAAAACTTTGTGAATGTGCGTACAAAAATACAGAAATCCATCCAGAACATTCTTGTATATGAGCATTCCCAGAAGAGATGAGAAATAGATTCATCTTCAGCACCACAAAAAGATAAACTTAATGTTGATAAACTGGCCATTCCAGTAGGACACAATGTACGACAGAGAAGCAATCTCATTCTGGAATAGCTGTCTAATTCTTCTGTTCCGACCAGAAGAGTTAGATAAAAAAAACTAATATTCCCAATCAGTGTATCAAAAGGATGAGCAATCTAGCTGAGTCTTGCTCCATAAGGAATGGCATCCATTACTATAGCAAACTCTCATGGAGTGACAGGTATGTTATACTTGTTCAAAAACTCTGAATATGAATACAAGTGTCCATCAACATTGATTAATTATAAAATAAGACCAAAATAAAATTATTATTCACCCAATCTGGGAATAACAATGACTTATTTTTATAAAGAATGTCGCAATTATTCCAAATAAAGTACCGATGAGGACTAAAATTGTGCTTATATATAAGGTGCCAGGCCAAAAGTGCTTGTTTATGAAAATTTGATAATTTAAGGGGCAATGTCCAGTTTCCCCTTTGTTTTGCCTCCAGCTAGCGCGGTGACATAACTGTGACGTGGGCCCTAAAAGGGTCTTTTCTTTAATTACTAGTGTGTGATCCAAATATCAGTAGAATCTTTGTTATATATTTACAATCTCAATTGTGTTCTTTTAATAATGAACAATATCAAATCCCATTTTCAAACCCCATTTCATAAACGTTCAAGATTCAGAAAGTTTAAGTAAAAGTATTATCGAGTCTGCTTATTATGGCGCTGTTCTACATATGATCTTTTATAACCTTACTGTACACGACACGGGAAACGCCTCAGTTTGGAGAAAACGAAAGTTAGGCAGTTGTACATGTCTCTACGCAGCAAAATGGCAGACGCCAGTACTTCATGGTCTCTGGAAGAATTTAACTGTTCAATCTGTCTGGATCTACTGAAGGATCCAGTGGCGCTTACCTGTGGACACAGTTACTGTATGAGCTGTATTACAGGCTACTGGGATCAGGATGATCAGAAGAGAGTCTACAGCTGCCCTCAGTGCAGACAGACCTTCACTCCAAGACCTGTTTTAGGTAAAAACACCATGCTGGCTGAAGTGGTGGAGAAAATCAAGAAGACAAAACTCCAAGCTGCTCGTAATGCTCAATGTTTCCCTGGATCTGGAAATGTGGAGTGTGACGTCTGTACTGGGGACAAAAACAAAGCCATCAAATCCTGTCTGGTGTGTCTGAACTCTTACTGTCAAAATCATCTTGAACAACATGAAACTTTCTTCAAAGGTAAGAGACACAATCTAATGGGTGCCACTGGACAACTGCAGGAGATGATCTGCCCTCAACATGAGAAACTGTTGGAGATTTTCTGTCGTACTGATCAGCAGTGTATATGTTATTTGTGTACAATGGATAAACACAAAAACCACGAGACCGTATCAGCTGCAGCAGAGAGGACTGAGAAACAGGTAAACTGATATATTTATCCTTAAGTATAGCTATTTACTTGTTTTTAGCATGCAGTATTATTCATGATTCAGGTTCATGATTATTTGTTATTCCTACAGAGACAGCTGGGTGAGATGCAAAGAAAAAAACAGCTAAGAATCCAGGAGAGACAGAAGGAGCTTGAGAAGCTGAGAGAGGCTGTAGAGTCTCACAAGGTGAGTTTTGAGCAGAAGAACAGCTGCTGGCTGCTGAAGAGCTGTTTCAGACTCAGTTAGGACTCTCTTCCAGTCAGTCAGTGAGGAGCCAGTGCTGGAGCTCTTTCAGTCCCACTGAAGCCCACTGTGGGGAACAGGCTGTGTGAGGTAGCAGTAAGAGCTGAGTGAATGTACTGATTCTAATGCTTCTCTCTCTGTGTCCTAACAGTGCTCTGCACAGGCAGCAGTGGAGGACAGTGAGAGGATCTTTACTGAGCTGATCCGCTCCATTGAGAGAAGCCGCTCTGAGGTGTCACAGCTGATCAGAGATCAGGAAAAGGCTGCAGTGAGTCGAGCTGAAGGACAACTGGAGCAACTGGAGCAGGAGATTGAAGATCTGAGGAGGAGAGACGCTGAGCTGGAGCAACTTTCACACACAGACAATCACATCCATTTCCTCCAGGTAACAGAGATCTGACAAACAGGACAGTGATCTTTAGAAAGGGAAGAGCATGTTGTTCAGAGATTTTTGTTTCTATCAAATGTTTCTGTCTTTAGCTGGTGTTTTGTGTCTTTGTATAGAGTATCCAGTCTCTCTCTGTTCCTCCTGGATCTACAAACTCGCCCAAAATAACTATCAGTTCTCGTCTCTCTTTTGATGATATTGGTAAATCTGTGTCTCATCTGAGAGAAAAACTGGAGAATTTCTGCAGGGAGGAGATAGAAAAGATATCTGGTAGAGGTAAAACACTAACTCATCCTTTTATGAGAAAAATAGGTCATACAGTATAATGTAATAATGTAATATTTGTTATGTACAAAGCATATCAATATCTGAATGTGACATGGTTTTAATAGTTTCTCGTACTGTTGGAGATTTTCTGTCGTACTGATCAGCAGTGTATATGTTATTTGTGTACAATGGATAAACACAAAAACCACGAGACCGTATCAGCTGCAGCAGAGAGGACTGAGAAACAGGTAAACTGATATATTTATCCTTAAGTATAGCTATTTACTTGTTTTTAGCATGCAGTATTATTCATGATTCAGGTTCATGATTATTTGTTATTCCTACAGAGACAGCTGGGTGAGATGCAAAGAAAAAAACAGCTAAGAATCCAGGAGAGACAGAAGGAGCTTGAGAAGCTGAGAGAGGCTGTAGAGTCTCACAAGGTGAGTTTTGAGCAGAAGAACAGCTGCTGGCTGCTGAAGAGCTGTTTCAGACTCAGTTAGGACTCTCTTCCAGTCAGTCAGTGAGGAGCCAGTGCTGGAGCTCTTTCAGTCCCACTGAAGCCCACTGTGGGGAACAGGCTGTGTGAGGTAGCAGTAAGAGCTGAGTGAATGTACTGATTCTAATGCTTCTCTCTCTGTGTCCTAACAGTGCTCTGCACAGGCAGCAGTGGAGGACAGTGAGAGGATCTTTACTGAGCTGATCCGCTCCATTGAGAGAAGCCGCTCTGAGGTGTCACAGCTGATCAGAGATCAGGAAAAGGCTGCAGTGAGTCGAGCTGAAGGACAACTGGAGCAACTGGAGCAGGAGATTGAAGATCTGAGGAGGAGAGACGCTGAGCTGGAGCAACTTTCACACACAGACAATCACATCCATTTCCTCCAGGTAACAGAGATCTGACAAACAGGACAGTGATCTTTAGAAAGGGAAGAGCATGTTGTTCAGAGATTTTTGTTTCTATCAAATGTTTCTGTCTTTAGCTGGTGTTTTGTGTCTTTGTATAGAGTATCCAGTCTCTCTCTGTTCCTCCTGGATCTACAAACTCGCCCAAAATAACTATCAGTTCTCGTCTCTCTTTTGATGATATTGGTAAATCTGTGTCTCATCTGAGAGAAAAACTGGAGAATTTCTGCAGGGAGGAGATAGAAAAGATATCTGGTAGAGGTAAAACACTAACTCATCCTTTTATGAGAAAAATAGGTCATACAGTATAATGTAATAATGTAATATTTGTTATGTACAAAGCATATCAATATCTGAATGTGACATGGTTTTAATAGTTTCTCGTTATACAGTATGTGAATTATAATACAGATCTGTTTCCGTAGTAACATACATTGTGATCATTCCCACCTCTGAGCCCAAAACCAGGGAGGAGTTCCTTCAATGTAAGTCTCTCTGAACAGGTTTTAACCCACTCTATAATAAAATTGCAAAATAAAAAATACTCCTTAAAATACATAACTATGAACAAACATCAGTTCATGAATAAATCTTCTAATTTCACATGAGACTTTATTCAAATCAGTTAACCTTTAATATTGAATCAGTTTTTCTCCTCAAACACAACCAATGTGCAGCATCCATATGGATCATGCAACGGCAGCTTATATACTGTATATATATATATATATATACATAATCACCCTAAGATCAAAATATAATTTCTAATTTGCAACTAAAGACAGACTCTAACAATTCATAAACTCACTTTTATCTTAGCTTAAACAGTTTTACGGTCCATAAAAAGCTAAGTAAAACTTAAGTATTATTTTAATGATTGAAATTTGCTGAATTTCATGTGGATTACATGCTCTATCTCCATTAGATTCTCATCAACCCACTCTGGACTTAAACACAGTAAATAAGAATCTCTGTCTGTCGGAAGAGAACAGAGTGATTGAATACACTCGTGAAGAACAGCCGTATCCTGATCATCCAGACAGATTTGATCACTGGTCACAGGTGTTGTGTAGAGAGCGTGTGTGTGGACGCTGTTACTGGGAGGTTGAGTGGAGTGGTTGGGTGTATATATCAGTGTCATATAAGAGCATCAACAGGAAGGGACGGGGAAAGAAGAGCGAGTTTGGTTGTAATGATCAGTCCTGGTGTTTGTTCTGCTCTGACTCTCGTTGCTCATTCTGGCACAATAACAAAGGGACTGAACTCCCAGTAGTCTCCAGCTCCTCTAGAATAGGAGTGTATGTGGATCACAGTGCAGGAACTCTGTCCTTCTACAGCATCTCTGACACAATGACCCTCATTCACAGAGTCCAGACCACATTCACTCAGCCTCTCTATGCTGGGTTTGAGTTCAGTTCATTATGTAAAAGTGTAACAAAAGTTAAACTATGTAAGTTATAAATAAGATACAACTTCATTCTACAAATAAAATAGCATATTAACAGTTTAAGCTTCATGATAAATCAGCAACTTGGATACTGAAGTCTTTTACTTTCTAATAAATAAATCAACACTGATCATCTCTCATTAAAAAACTTGGCAGCTTTCTGAAAAAAATATCTTCTGATATGATCTAACAATGACTGGTGAGTATAAAAAATAAATGAATATTAAAATCGACTTTGACAGAATAGTATAATATCAGGCTACACTGTGTATGTTCAAGTCTTCAGAGGCTGATGAAATTTCACATTCAACAATCCACAGTAAAATGTATTTCATTATACATTATATAAATACATTAAAATCTATTTCAGTAAAATTTAGTTTATTTGATCTAGACAATTTCTGTAAGTTTTGCAACAGACACCTAAATTGTAATAGTTAACGAGCAAGCTAGAGCTTATTGGTCTACTTTGTTGATCAGTATCAGTAAGTCAAAATATATTTTGCTTGATTAGATTTAATAGGAGTCATAAAACCTCCCTGTATTTTGTGTATTGTCACTTTTTGTGGGTTTCTGCTGATGTATTCCGTTTTACTACAAAAACTCTGTAACACTGGGTACAGTTCACTCAATAAACATCACTGCCAAGGCAACTCTCTCAACTCTCTCATTCTTGTCTATATTTTTGGGGTGATTTTCTTCTTCCTTTTTGGAGCATGAAAAAACATTGAATATTTACTTCTTGTTTAGACGTGTGACATTTGAACTAGAGAGAGACCCTTGTAACAACTCACTGTTAAATGAGTGTATCTAATAATTCCTCTTTGAAATGAAATAGCTTGATATAAGTAATAAAGTAGTTAAATCAGTTAATATCTTGCTTATGTTCAAATAAATCAATCAAATCCATGTTGCTGCCACCAGGCTTTATGGGAAAGACATATCACATGCTGTTGTTTTCAGAATCCCAGTAATATTTTCTTTGTTACAGCAGCTCTCCTGTCTTTAAATTGAACACATTTATAAGTGAATAATAAAGTCCACTTTTACAGTATTTTTGTTGTTTTGGAGCATGACATTTGCAATAACCCGAATATTTGTCCAAAAAAAAAAGTATTTTTTTCCAGAGAAGAAAGTCAGCCACATTGGTTTGGAACAACACCAGAGTGAGTAAATCGTGTCAGGGGCAATGTGTGGTTGTGTTGAGAAGAATTTAGATTCTAGTGTATATTCTTTAAATACTGCAGTGGTATTTTTTTGTGGCGGCTGATATGTACAATCATATTTATCATTGAACCAATAACATATTTCAGCAGGTTTTCATATATTTGCTAATAATTATGCTCATGTACACAAATGATATTCCCCTGATATACAGTAGGCCTATTAAAATAGTCTTGATAATCAATGCCGCATCAATCTCACTAATCACTAATACAACACATCTGAATTATGCACATTACTGGGTAAATCAGTTAAAACATGATTTAAAAAATTCTAATTAAAAAATACTCAAAGCCTTCTTTGCCTCTTCGGACGGACTGACATGGATTTGCTTTCATGTGTTGATAGTTGCTGTGACCCTAAATATGATGAGCATTTTGGACAGTGGAGGGATGTACTGTATGTGTTGATAGTGTCTGAGACAGTGCCCTCTACTGGCTCACTGTAACTTTGCATTCTTACACTCAGTTTATATTGAGGCTGTATTTGAGGCTGTCCTATATTGTTTCACTTTTTATTATCTTATTGGCACACCCGTATGCGCATGATTCTTAAACACAAAACCAGGAAACAGCTCAGTTCAGAGAAACTATATGTGATCAATTGTTGAGCATTAAAATGGCAGAATCCAGTGTTTCTTTGGCTCAGGATCAGTTTGTCTGTCCCGTCTGTCTGGATCTACTGAAAGATCCAGTGGCCATTCCCTGTGGACACAGTTACTGTATGAGCTGTATTACAGGCTGCTGGGATCAGGATGATCAGAAGGGAGTCTACAGCTGCCCTCAGTGCAGACAGACCTTCACTCCAAGACCTGTTTTAGGTAAAAACACCATGATGGCTGCAGTGCTGGAAAAACTCAAGAAGACAAAACTCCAAGCTGCTCGTCCTGCTCAGTGTTTCGCTGGATCTGGAGTGTGACATCTGTACTGGGGACAAAAACAAAGCCATCAAGTCTTGTCTGACGTGTCTAGAATCTTTTTGTCAAAATCATTTTAAACGGGATGAAGAATTTTACTCAGGAAAGCGACATAAAGAGATGGACGCCACTGGACGACTGCAGGAGATGATCTGCCCTCTACATGATAAACTGCTGGAAATTTTTTGTTGTACTGACCAGCACTGTGTATGTTATTTGTGTACAATGGATGTGCACAAAAACCACAAGACTGTATCTGCTGTAGCTGAGTGGACAGAGAAACAGGTATGAACTAAAAGACACTGCTAGACCTATTTGTACTAAATACAAATATTTATGATTCCATAACAGCTACATAATAAAAGATGACTGAGTAGTTCTAAACAATGATAATACTATTATGTAATCATTTAGTTTATCACCATATTTGTTTTACTTTGTAAATATTCATTTCGTAGCAGTCTCATACATAGGGACAGCTGTAATTAGTTGTCATCTGAAGAGCATATGACAAATGGACTTTGAACGTGTTTGTTATTTCTACAGAGACAGTTAGAAGAAACCCAGAGAAAACTCCGCCAAAAAAATCGAGAAAAGAAAGGAGGAGATTCAGAGGCTGAGAAAGTCTGTAGAGTCTCACAAGGTGAGTTTTGAGCAGAAGAACAGCTGCTGGCTGCTGAAGAGCTGTTTCAGACTCAGTGTGGACTCTCCTCCAGTCAGGCAGTGAGGAGCCAGTGCTGGAGCTCTTTCAGTCCCACTGAAGCCCACTGTGGGGAACAGGCTGAGTGAGGTAACAGTAAGAGCTGAGTGAATGGACTGAATCTAATGCTTCTCTCTCTCCGTGTCCTAACAGCGCTCTGCACAGGCAGCAGTGGAGGACAGTGAGAGGATCTTTACTGAGCTGATCCGCTCCATTGAGAGAAGCTGCTCTGAGGTGACACAACTGATCAGGGCTCAAGAAACATCTGCATTGAGTCAAGCTGAAGTACTATTGGAGCAACTGAAAAATGAGATTGAAGATCTGAGGAGGAGAGACGCTGAGCTGGAGCATCTTTCACACACAGACAATCACATTTATTTCCTCCAGGTAACAGAGATCTGACAAACAGGACAGTGGTCTTCAGGAAGGGAAGAGCATGTTGTACAAAGATTGTTTCTGTCAAATGTTTCTGTCTTTAGCTGGTGTTTTGTGTCTTTGTGTCTGTAGTGTTTCCAGTCTCTCTCTGTCCCTCCTGGATCTACAGACTCACCCAGCATCACTCTCAGTTCTTGTCTCTCTTTTGATGGTTGAAAAATCCATAATTCAAATGAGAGAGAAACTGGAACATTTCTGCAGAGAGGAGATAAAAACGTTATCTAGTAAAGGTAAAACAATGAATCTTTCTTTTATAAGAGAAGTGTGTCATTCATCATATAACACTGTGTAGAAGTACAAAGCATATCGGAATCTGACATGGTTTTGATTTAGTTTCCCTGAATTACAATAAATCATTGGTTTCCATAGTAACAGATATTATGAAAAGTTCTACCCCTGAGCCCAAAACCAGGAAGGAGTTTCTACAATGTAAGTCTCAAAGAAACACACACCAAGACTAAACGCATTTAAACCTACTATAATGAAATTCAACAACAGACTGAAACATGCAGACTAAACTCCATTAAATACACAAACATCAATCATGATTTTTATTTCACATGAGATTCAAATCAGTTATATTCCATCAGTATTTAATCAGAACAAGTTTTTTTTATGAACACAGAACTAGAGCCAATAAATGAGTCATGAATTATTCTACGACTTGCAATTCTATTGTGCAACTAAAGAACAAAGAGACTCACGTAGACACAGTTTTATGACGTCAATTACAGCGAGAGTCACGTCACTTGATATAAAAAGTACCGGCTCTCTGTTACCTTCACTTTAACCATGTTACTGTCTATAAAAAGTTTTAATGAGTGAAGTTTAGATTTCCTGATTTACATGTGTATTATATGCTCTGTCTCTATTAGATTCACGTCAGCTCAATGTGGATTTAAACACAGTGAACAAACTTCTCTGTTTGTCTGAGGGGAACAGAGTGATTGCGTACACTAATAAAGTCCAGCCGTATCCAGATCATCCAGACAGATTTGATCACTGGTCACAAGTGTTGTGTAGAGAAAGTGTGTGTGGACGCTGTTACTGGGAGGTTGAGTGGAGTGGTTGGGTGGGTATATCAGTGTCATGTAAGAGAATCAGCAGGAAGGGACGGGGAAAGGAGAGTGAGTTTGGTTGTAATGATCAGTCCTGGTGTTTGTTCTGCTCTGACTCTCGTTGCTCATTCTGGCACAATAACGAAGGGACTGAACTCCCAGTAGTCTCCAGCTCCTCTAGAATAGGAGTGTATGTGGATCACAGTGCAGGAACTCTGTCCTTCTACAGCGTCTCTGACACAATGACCCTCATTCACAGAGTCCACACCACATTCACTCAGCCTCTCTATGCTGGGTTTAATTTCAATTCACTATCTGTATTCTTTTCCAGAACAGAATCAAAGGTTAAACTGTGTGATCTAAAAATATAGATGATTCAAGTGATTCAGCAAATAAAACTGCATATTAGAAGTTCGAGCTCCAAAATAAATCAGCAACAGTAAGACGTTCTGAAGTCTGCTGAACTCTGTGGAAATAACGCATGCCAGATTTCTGAATAAAAAAATAATGATTGTAGAGAACTTCATGTATATGGAATATGGAAGAGTCATCAATGACAGTAACAGTCCAAACAATATATACTGTCTTCACAAGATTGATGAAATTTCTACTTTAGCACATTCAGTGATTAATTACTATACGTGTTGTATTTCAGTAAAATGTAATCCTTGATTTATTTTCAAAAGGGCAGGAAAAATATACAATCATTTTCTCTGAGATTTCGTATGTAAGAGCAATCTATGTAAATTTCGTTTATTGTGTTTATTTTATCTATACAATTTCTGTCAATTTTGCAGCAGATTTTGAAAGAGATTTTTTGTAATCTACAGCAAACTAGCACTTAGTCTACTCTGTTGACCAATATCAACAGGTATGAATACTACACCAAGCAATACAGTATAAATAAATGTATAATGATTTCTCCAGCAGATATTTTACTTGACCAGCTTTTAAAAGTTCCCTGACTGTTGTGTATTTTCACATTGTGTGTGTTTTTCTCTAGTTGTATTATGTTTTACCACAGGAATCACTCTGTAATGCTGGGTACTGTTCACTCAGTAAACATTACTGCAAGGGCAACTCTCTTAAGTCTCTCATTCTTGTCAATACTGCCAATATTATTTGAATCTGGAGCATGAGGAATACTCACATTTAATTCTCATGTAGGCATATGAAATTTGAACTTAAAGGGATAGTTCACCCAATAATGAAAATGCTGTCATCATTTACTCACCCTCCATTTGTTCCAAACATGTATGAGTTCCTTTGTTCTGTTTAAGACAAAAGATGATATTTTGAAGAATGTTGGTAACCAAACAGAAGCCACTAGACATCTGCAGTATTTTTTCCATACTATGGAAATCAATGGCTACTGTCAACTATCCCAACAATGATACTAACATTTTCAAAAATGTGGAAAACATGTTTATTCTGTGTTTTCCGTGGATTCCTGGATTCGATGAATCTGTTGCCAGATCTGCGGGCGAACCAGATCAATGTCCCCACCAATTCTGAAACAATTGGAATTGACAGACATTATGTGATTTAAAAATATGTCTAAAACATTTAGTTCCCCTACTCCAGAAGAATGTTGTTACATCCTTCACTCAGCATCACCAAAATCAATAGATTTCTTTGACTGTTATTGTTCACCCTGACCGCTAGGTGGCAGAGTTGCTACTTGAATATAAACTGAGCAACTGGAGCGTTTTGTTGATAAATGGCCAATAAACTTGTTGTTCAGCCGTGTGTCACGATTACACAGTGCTAGTGAAGATTAGGACTGCTATTGTCGAAATTAATTCTCGGCTGTTTTGCTCGGCTGGAACGTTTCAAAGGATAGGCCTGGAAACATAAGCACGAGCTTCTGCAGCGTGCCCGTTTCTATAGCAACGCAAAACACACTTGAGCGAGCAAGTCATGGTCCGCAGTAAGTGCTTTATTCCTAATATAAAGACCATTTTAATTTATTCATATAATAAAACAGTTATTGTATTATATGCCTCTTTAAATAAATGATTCTTCACAAATAATTTTTTTTAGCGGTTTTGCTGTTGGTAAACTAATCCTCTCTTTCCCTGCTTTCTGATCAGTCAGTGAGGATCTGATCCGCCGCAGAGCAGAACACAATAATGGGGAGATCTTTTCCCTGGAGGAGGTTTCCCTCCATCAGCAGGACATCGAGAGGATCGAGCATATCGACAAATGGTGCAGAGACCTCAAAATCCTCTACTTGCAGAACAACCTCATCCCAAAGATAGGTAACGTTCCTGTAAGCAAACATTCCTGTACATATCAGTGGGAACACAACTAAACGCATGGCTATTCATATGCTTTTAACTTTTATGCAGAAAATGTGGGCAGACTAAAGAAGCTGGAGTATCTAAATCTGGCACTGAACAACATAGAAGTCATCGAGAATTTAGAAGGTGACTTTCATATATATATATAGAGAGAGAGAGTGAATTTGGCAAGTTTCAGCAATTTTGTGGATTGTTGTGCATTAGTTTTTTTAAAATATTTCTATGTTTTTTAGTAATTTTTGTTTCAGTTTGAGTTATTTTAGTACATCAAGTTATATGAAAATGAGAGCTGTTTCCTTGGCAAGTTTTTTTTTTTGTAATTCTATTTAAGTTAACATTTATTTTATGTCAGGTAATACAAATATTTGTATACAATTTTAACTATAATGACTCTACTTTCGGAAGGAGACGCAGGAGTAACGGAGAGAGAGAGAGTGAATTTGGCAAGTTTCAGCAATTTTGTGGATTGTTGTGCATTAGTTTTTTTAAAATATTTCTGTTTTTTAGTAATTTTTGTTTCAGTTTGAGTTATTTTAGTACATCAAGTTATATGAAAATGAGAGCTGTTTCCTTGGCAAGTTTTTTTTTTTGTAATTCTATTTAAGTTAACATTTATTTTATGTCAGGTAATACAAATATTTGTATACAATTTTAACTATAATGACTCTACTTTCGGAAGGAGACGCAGGAGTAACGCAACTTTGCAAACTTTAATGAACAGGGTAACACACACAGAGATGGCGTTTAACACAGGAAGCTAGACATAGGAAACACTGGGCTTATAAACACAGGGAACGTAATCAGGGAGAACTGAAACAGGTGGAGTAATTCATCAACAAACATGGAAACTAATGAGGGAACACCTGAAATCAAAGAACACAAATCAACATGAGGGAAACTGGGTCATGGGGAGCAAAACACAAGACATGGAACACAACACAGGGGCAGTCCAAGTCCTACTCAGAAATATATATATATAAACTGGTCCCAACATTGTTTTTAGCGAATGTGCAGTTCTCCTCAAATTCACATAAGTGTCCTAGCAGAGAAACCACAAGTGTAGTTTATCATATGAATTATGTACATGATAACTGGGTCATGGGGAGCAAAACACAAGACATGGAACACAACACAGGGGCAGTCCAAGTCCTACTCAGAAATATATATATATATAAACTGGTCCCAACATTGTTTTTAGCGAATGTGCAGTTCTCCTCAAATTCACATAAGTGTCCTAGCAGAGAAACCACAAGTGTAGTTTATCATATGAATTATGTACATGATTCAATTCTGACAAATCAGAAAATGTTCAAATGCTTAATTTTAACAGTATATGTGTTCATCATTTGAAAATTAGCAGCTCTCTTTTTGTGAAATGTTTTGCTTGAAAAGTGTGGTGTAATATAGGTATTTTGTTGCAAACATACTGTATTACAGCTCTAACCAGGCTTGATTTTTGTGTCAATCAGTTCACGTGTATGCATGTAACTGTAATATATGTGTGTAGGCTGTGAGAGCTTACAGAAGCTAGACCTGACGGTGAATTTTGTGGGTAAGCTGAGCAGTGTGGAGTCTCTGAAGCAGAACGTTCTTCTCCGAGAGCTCTACCTGGTGGGAAACCCTTGTACTGAATTTCACGGATACAGACAGTATGTGATGGCATGTCTGCCTCAACTACAGGTATTGCATTGAGACAGACATATACAGAAATTTTTTTTAGCCTTGCGCTATTTATGAACGACTGTCTTTTGTGCTTTGCAGTGGTTGGATGGGAAAGAAATCAGGCGAGGTGAGCGTATTCAGGCCCTGCAGGAACTGGATGCAGTGAGGAGACATGTTTTAGAGCATGAGGCGGAGTATTTAGAGAAAAGAGAGGAACAAAAAAGAAGTGGTTTGAAAGAGACAATAGAAAAGCAGGAGGATCCTCAAATAAACCAGTGAGTGTCTATAAGGTAGCTGAAGTTTGAATAACTGAATTAGGAGAGTTAAAAGACTATTTGGGTTGTATTAGATAAACTTTAACAGATTGTACCCTGAAATTTACCTTTTTAGAAATTAAAGTAAACTTATTGAAGTCTGTATAATTCACACAGTAGAAAGTACACACAGATTTTATACTGATTCACCCTAAAACTTTCTTTTGAAAAGCTTATTGAAGGTTCTTGAAAAGCTACATTCACAGAAAATTCCTCATAATATAATTGATTTTGAAGAAATTTCTTTGAATATGAACATACTATGGTGTTTTGCGTAAAAAAGAGCGTTATCTGCTTTGAGCCAGAACTGTGATTTTTTTTCTTCTGATGAGCCTTAACCGTGATGATTATTTCACACAGATTGCTCTCTGAAAACCAAAACGGGACTCATCAGAATCCAGAATCAAGCTCTAAGGCCCACACCGAGGATAAAGAGAAGGAATTCTGGGAAAAGCCATGCCCATTCACACCAGAATCCAGACTAGAGGCCCATCGCCATCTGGAGGACAAGAGAAGGGTCAAAGAGAAAGAGAGGTACTTGCTTACTTATGGCGCTTTTCCACTGCGTGGTACGACTCGGCTCGGTACAGCTCAGTACGGCACGGCACGGCTCGGTTCGGCTCGGTTTGCGTTTCCACTGCAGTTTAGTATCGCTTTAGGGTGGGCGGGATTATTCACATGTGGTTATAGTTGCGCCGCCTCTACTGCCGAAAACTTTTTCATTCCGCGTTGCCCCATCAAGCTCTCGCTGGATCCGCTCCTCTGCTATCAACGAGAGGAACGTCTGTACTTCCTCAACAGGGGGAACAGCCACTTTTTGGTTGTTAAAAAAAGGTGCGCTCGTTCAAAACAGTTGCGTTCTATCCTTCGCTGGCTGTGCTGATTCAAATCTTGCGGTTCTATTTATTTTTTTATTTATTTATTTTTTTTTAATCTAGCGGTTCTTTTGTGTTTGTGTCACAAGTTCAGTGATGCAGGTAGTGACGATTCTCTCCGGCCAGTACGTGATCAGCAGAGTTTACACGTCACGTTTTGGTAACGGTTCGGTTCGCTTGGAACCCCAACCGAGGTGGTACTAAAAAAAGTACCAGGTACCAGGTACTGTACCCAGTGGAAAACCCCCAAAAAGTGAACCGTACCGAGCCGTACCATGCACTGGAAAAGCACCATAAGAAAAAGAGGACTGAAATCACTAATGGTATCTATATCTAAATATCACCGTGATGCCCATTTCTCAATCTTTACATTTTTATGAGATAAAGAAGAGAAAGACATTAAGCTTTTGCATGTTTTTCCTGTCAAGTCAATTCAAGTCAAGTCACCTTTATTTATATAGCGCTTTTAACAATACAGATTGTGTCAAAGCAACTGAACAGCATTAATTAGGAAAATAGTGTGTCAATAATGCAAAATGACAATAGTAAACACTCATCTGTAAACAATGTTTCTTACTGCAGTCAATTCTGTGTTTCTACAGAGAGAAGCCTAAAACCAAAACCCCTAGAACTCTGATTACTGCAGATGGACGAGTGCTGAACATCAACGAGCCCAAGTACACACACAAAAAACACAAACACACTACTCATGTGTAGCCAAACGTCAGTCCGGTCCAATTTGCAGATTATTCTAGCCAAGGACTGTCCTACTTAGACAGGAAGAACTCAGCTGACAGAAAGCTGTCAAACACATTTTCTTTTGCTTGCTGCTTATTTTCTCAAACAAATTCTAAGGCACAATTCCATACCTTATGAACATGATTTTGTGTTGTGGTGGACAGACCCTGAACATGATTTTGTATTGTGGTGGACAGACCCTGGCTACAATAAATTGTGTTGCAGTCAGTCAGACTGAAGCCAGCTCTCACCATTTTAAAGTGACCCAGAATCCACAAAAATGGAAAACTGCATATATCCAAAATGCTTATGTCCAAAAACATGCATGAGGTCAAAATTCAATGAGGCAAAGCAAACAAATGGACTTATCAAAAAAAAAAAAAAAGGTACAACGCTGTCACTGGAGCAGTACTCTAAGGTACAAAAATTAAAAGGTATATCTCTGTACCCCATTTATCCCTAAATGGTACATCTTCGTACATTTAAGGTACATATTAGCTTACTTAAAGAATACATGTCAGTACCTAAAGTGTACATATTCGTACCTTTTGAGTGGGTACCACCCCAGTGTCAGTTGTACCTTTTTTTTCTGAGAGCGTGGGCAGAATAATGTGTAAAGTGGACCAGAATTTATGCCAACAGTCAAAAGTCTGGCTAGATGAGACTAGGGCTAGCAAGACAGCCATAAAAGCACAAGTGATAACTTGAATCTATTTATAGTGAGAAACAGGAAATCAAAAACAGGTAAGATGGCTAAACTAGGTCACAGGAGAGATACAGTATATATCATACATCAACAGTGCCTCACTCCAACCAGAGATACACATGAGCTCATACACATACTCAAACACTATAGTACCAGCTTGAGTTTTAGAAATATTTATTTCATGTGATCTCTACCTCCAAGGTTGGACTTCAGTCTCACTGAGGATGAGAACAACTGCATGCATTTGGAAATACATGTTTACAGGTACAGACACACTCCCTCACTCCAGCTAGCTCTTGTCCTGCACAACAATCGGCACAAAATGATTAAGTCATGATTTAGCAGTATACTTTCTTTTTTTCTTTGAGTAAACTTTGTGTGTATTTGTCATTTAGTAACTTTTCTCCTAACAGCATCCACTCTCACATTGGTCTCATCTGTGCCGTAGGCATATGGACACCTCACTGCTGGATGTGGATGTTCAGCCAACATACGTGAGAGTGACCGTCAAAGGAAAGGTATACTATCCATCTCTCTATCTCTCTCTTTCCCTCTCTCTTTCCCTCTCTCTCTCTCTCTCTCTCTCTCTCTCTCATCTGATGAGTTTGACCTTTAAAGCTGATTACCCAGCAGTAAATCTACACTCTTTATTCTTGTCTCTCTCTTTCCCTCTCTCTTTCCCTCTCTCTCTCTCTCTCTCTCTCTCTCATCTGATGAGTTTGACCTTTAAAGCTGATTACCCAGCAGTAAATCTACACTCTTTATTCTGCCTCATTTCCTCACAAGTCGGCCGCAGACCAGCACAAGTAACGGTTCTCGCCTCACCACACCACAGATGTTTGTGCGTGTGTGTGACTGATCTCGTGATGACTGGTGATAATGTAGATCACTTTTACAGTGGCAAGTGCTTGGAACCCCACATTAATAAAAGTGTGTGTGTGTGTGTGTGTGTGTGCGCGCAGGTGTTCCAGCTGGTATTGTCTGCAGAAGTGAAACCTGACAGCAGCACAGCACAGAGATCCCAAACCACCGGCCACCTGCTTCTCATCCTGCCTCTGGTACAGCTCACACCTGAAACACACCTTTCAAACACCCTCCTGATGTCTTTGAACATAGTTTCCATCCCAGTTTGTGCAGTATGAACATCAACAAGAGAAATCTTACCAAATATAATATCTGTTAAAATCATTCCCTTCAATATAGTCCCAGAACTGTGCCATAATGTAGTTAACTGATGTGAAGTACTATTTGAAAATTGATGCGCCCTACAGTCTGACATGCTGTGCAAAACTAAAACTATTTTAAGAAGCATTTTCTTTTTTCATGTATTGGCTTTTGCGATCTGATATTAATAATGCTACAAGGAAACTTGTACATGAAAAAAAATTTGTACAAGTTTATTAAAGTCAAAAATATGATTGAAAATTATGCTAAATGTGAAAGAAATGGTGGGGATTTACAACACTTAAAATTTATTTTACATTTATGTACGCTACTGTTAAAAAGTTTGAGGTCGGTAAGATTTTTTATTGATTTTTAAAGTAAAAAATACAGTAAAATAGTAATACTGTGAAATATTATTATAACTGCTTTCTGTTTTAATATATTTTAAATTTTAATATACTTAATTTATGTAATTTGTTGTTTTATTTATTGAATTAACTAGTTTATTTCTGTGATGGCAAAGCTACATTTTCAGCAGTGATTAGTCTTCAGTGTCACATAATCCGTCAGAAATCATTCTAATATGCTGATTTGGTGCACAATAAATATTTATCATTATCACTGTTAAAAATAGTTTTGCTGCTTAATATTTTTGTGGGAACCTTGATATATTTTTCCATGATTCTGAATATAAATTTTAAAAGAATAGCAATTATTTGAAATAGAAATCTTTTGAAACATTAGAAACGTCTTCACTGTCACTTTCAATCAATTGAATGCATCCTTGCTGAATAAAAGTATTAATTTCTTTTAAAAAAAACAACAACATATAAATAAAGAAAGGAAATATCGTACTGACTCCAAACTTTAGATTTTTTTTGAATGTGCAATTTTTTACCTAAAATCTTGCTGTTTAAAAAAACATTGTTCATAGAAGCCAATTGCCAAGTGTAGTGAAACTGGAATGGGAACCTAACAAACCGTTGTATTAGCATGCTGGCTAACAGCTTTCAGAAAGTGTAGTTGAATGATCAGTTAATTTGTAAGTTTTTTTTTTAAGGATAACTTTTTGCATACATATCTAGACTGTATAAAACCTCTCCTTAAAACCCATTCTGGTATATTTGTGTTTTGTTCTAGGCACATGGAGAGATAAAACCAAAGAAACCCATTGCCAGGCCGACCAGTGTCACCAGTAAGCACAATATCAAGAAAGGGACCAGGTAATTCAGTTGCAGTTCAGCTGCATGTCTATGTGAACTTGTGTGTTTCTGTCTTAATAGTGTGATCGTGGTTTTGATACCACACCAGACCACAAAAAAGTGGCCTTGGTCTGGGATAGTTTTTAATCATAATCAACATATCAAATATACAAACCCTAAAACAGAATTCTGCTAAATACCTTTTGTATTCCAAGAAAAACTACAAATCTGGCATTCAAATGACATGAGGGTGAGTGAGATGATGACAGTATTTTAATTTCTGGGTGAACTATTCATTTAAGGTGACAAGAATCGAAGTTGTGTCCTTGAGCAAAACACTTAACTGCAGGTCACTCCAGGGACGCTGAGCTTCTTATTAGGGAAGTGGCTTTGGAGCTAAGTTTAATAAATGACTAAATTGCACTATGTACACACACTTATCTGCTTTATAATTGATCTCTCTTTTTAGACCTTTCTCCCTTTCTCTCGTTTACTCTCTGCAGTTTACAGCGGGAGGTCTTATGCGGTCACTTTCACACTGAACCATATCCCTTGTGTGTGTGTAGGCACCTCTAATGGGTCTTAATGCATGTTTGCATTAACCCGTGTGACTCTGGAATAAGTTTGTTGACGCTAGGGATTTATTCCATTTGTGCGACTGTGTGTCTGTGTGAGTCCTTCAGTCGGTTTATCAGCATAGTAAGTGAACACTGGGGTATAACATTAAAGACCTAATAAAAATGCAAATAAGATGCAAATAAACCAGTTACTGTCATTCCACTCACAAACACACACTCTTCTGCCCTGACTTCATCCTGATGGATGACATCATCTCAACCTGATTACTGGCTGGGAGGTCAGATGCTCTTGCTTTTATACGCACGCACGCTTGTGTTATTATTTACTGAGACCCTGAGGTCACACACACACACACACACACACACACACACTCACGGTTCTAGTGACACCTGTGTTTGTGTACCTGCCCCTGAGGAAATCATTGCACTTTCTGTAAATCATCTGTGTGTGTGATAATGTACCCGCTGAGTCACTGATTGGCTCGGAAAGTACAATATAATTGCACGCTATCAGTAATTCAGAGTCCAATCAGGTTTCAGCTACCGCTCTAATTAAATTTATAGTGATTCATTCTTAAAGCATGAGAGAGATGGAAGCGGAGATAAAAAGAGTGACTCTAATACTGTACTATAAATATTATGTATTATTAGTGTTATTGTGTATTCAAAGAGTTCACCAGAGATCGTTAGATTACTGTCCTAGCAAAAATAAAGCCCTGCTGTACGTTGAAGTCACAAGCCTTTCAGTTTGAGTCTACAGGATGTCATGGCTGATTTATCTGCTATCATGATGGGTGGGGCTGGCCATCATACTGGGATTTGTGTTTCTATGTAAGAGGCAGAAAGCTGCAGCACCCACAGCACTGTTCTATTGGGGAGGCCTGCGGTACAACATGATGATGGTGGAGAGCAGTAGTGAATTAATGGACATTTATCAGCTTACCTCATTTATAGCTTGTCAAGTAATGAACAAACATGGTTTCTGTTCGCTTCTACTTTCTTAATCTGCACAGAGAATCCATAATGATCCATTAAATGAATTAATTAAGGACTTTAAGCAAACAGCTGCTGATGGAATGACAACGGCGTTCTGCAAAAAAAAAAAAAAAGGTTCTAGTGTGCATACGTGATTATCTACTACTTTGTGATGTTGTACTGTAATGTCTACTACAGAATATCTTATTTAGGTAACAGATTAGGTAACATTGTTTTATGGTGTGAGGTTGGATCACAGTAAGTGATCATTAAATGCCAAATCAACCCTTTTCTTGTCTTCTTAAATGACTTTTTTGTAACTTTGATAATCCTCTCTTGCTTAGTGATTGCATTCTATGGCAGTTAACAGTTTACTTCCAGTCACCGTTGCTGTTCCATCAGCATCTGTTTCTTGAAGTCTCTGTTACTTCCAGGACAGCTTAGTGCAGTTACACATTTGGGGTTAAATGTCTAGTTCAGTGGTTCTTAACCTCGCACTGTACTCCCACTGTCCAACACAATATTCAAAGGCCCCCTATATAATATTAACAGAACTATAGCTAAGATATTCACACTAATATTATTATGAACAGAAACTTGTAGTGTTGATATAGGTAAATTAACCACAATTCATTTTGTGAGCCCTGTGTGTTTTTATAGTGTGGACAAAAAATAGTGTTTGGTTACCAACATTCTTCAAAATATCTTCTTTTGTGTTCCTCAGAATAAAGAAAGTCATACGAGTCTGTTAAGTTAAAGATTATGAAAAACTTTTTTCTTCATAATAAGGTACACAGATGAATCATGCACAGTAAGAACTAGGACATTTATTCAGAAAGTGAATAGGGTCAAATGTGTCTTATAGTGTGCGTCTTTGTGGTGGATGTGATTTAGCAAAGAGCAGGTGGGAGAAACCGACTTTGATTTTGCAGAGATTGTGCTGACTGAACAGTTAGACTGGAGTTATAGACTAATAAATTCTTAAAACGCAACAAAACAGCAATCTCAGTCAGATCTGTCTCTCTGCAGGGAAGCGCCAGGGCGTGAATTATTGGAGGTGGATCCAGGTCTGGCTGGGAGTCTGGCCAACATTGTTCCCAAAGGAAAGGAGTCTTCCCACAAGCCCCTGCAGCTCTCGCAGCCTCACCAGTGCTGTGTTGTCGAGGAGAGGCCTGTGTCAAAGGACTTCGTGGACGATCCAGAAGTGCCTCCACTTATGTGAGCGAGACAGATAGAGAGAATATGCTATGATATGACACAGCAAGAGAGCATAAGCATAATCACACTCTCTGCTGAGCTTGTGGAAGTGTGTGTGTGTGATGAAATAATGTGAGATATATTTAGTTCTCTTCATTTGACATATAGTTAAGCAGATGAGTAATTGTCGGTCTCATTAAAGCTTGCTGAATAGTTCACTGCTACACATCCTTCACTTTCAGTGTGTTCTCTCTCTCTATCACATGCACACACACACACAGATACTCATTTATTGACGTACAGTTGTGTCTGTCTGATATAAAGGAGGAGGTGTCTCTAATGCTGTGTCTACACCAGATGCGGGCATCATGTCGGGACAAAACTAAATTGCTCCAATAATAATCAATGAAGCTGTCCGCAATGGAAATGCCTGTTTTGTTTTGCTTTATTCAGTTGATAGACACACTTTCTATTTTTGATTTGCATCTCTTATTTTCTTACAAATTAAATTAAATTTATTCTTCAAATTATTTTCTCCATCCATCTGAAATGATTTTATTCATGAATATAATGTGTAAAATGTATTGCTATGTATGTACTATGGTTCCATCAAAACCAGCTTGTGATGTTTCTGGCCTCTGACCTACTATTTTAAATATCCATTTGTTTGTAGTAGTCATAGCAATAAAATTGTCTAAAATTATTTTGCCTTTCTAAAACAGGTCATACAAAGTCACCTTTATTTCTATAGCGCTTTATGCAATACAGATTGTTTCAAAGCAGCTTCACAGTGATATTAAGATGCAAAAAATCAAAGGTTTGAATGGTTCTTCAAATATAAGACAAATTCAAATTTTGCTGTAAAGCAACTCTAAAATAATATAGTGTCATTATCGTATAGTTCTATTATATTCTATTAGGGTTCAATTGTAAAGTTAATCAATTTAAATTCAGCTATAAGCAGCTCAACGGAAGGCAACGCTGTCAGTTAAATGTTGATTCAATTCAGTTCAATAAGGTGTCAATGTTGCAAAATTCATTAATTATGAAACCAAATTGATTCAGCTATAAAGCAGCTCAACAAAATACAATAGTGTGATGTGATCATCCAGCTCATTTCAGTTCACAGAACTTTTTTTTACCAATGAATTTCTTTTGGAAATTAAGCTGCCAATGCTGATTGTGTCTTTAGTTAGTAAACATTCTGAGGTGACAAACAGCTTCAATGCCACTGTAGTCAGCCTTACATGTATTGTCACCTGCTGGTGGATGGCATAACTACATCATTTTGAGTCCAAAAAAAGATCCTGCACCTGCCAAGCAACTGCCATTGAGATATTTCTCCGGATATTACATAAACTTACAATAGTCTTTGGGTCAATCATGTTTTTTATTTTTTTATTTATATATATATATTATTACTACATATTAGTATTAAATGTATTAGATGCTTTTACATTGTTACAAAAATGTTCAGTTTCAAATAAATGCAGTTCTTTTGAACTTAATATTTATCAAAGAATCCTGAAATGTTTCTTATAATCATATTTGAATTATGTCTGAAGGATCATGTGACACTGAAGACTGGAGTAATGGCTGCTGAAAATTCGGCTTTGCCATCAAAGAAATAAATTGCATTTTAAAATGTATTAAAATAGAAAACAGATATTTTAAATTGTAATAATATTTCACAATAGGGGAGAGCGGGTGAGTTGAGCCTGTTTTTACTTATGGTGAGCAGAATACAGTAATGGGTCCAACTTTAATATGTACATAAATTACAGGATGTGGTGCATCCTTGAGAATAATCACTTTAGATCTAAAATAAACTGCTTTTCCAAAGAAAAAAGTGGTCTCTTGGCTCAACTTGCCCCCAGTGAGGGGAAATAGGAGCCTAGGGAGAGGGTAAGTTGAGCCACACGGCCTTAAACTGTGCCATTGATTATGCTGAAGTAAAACTTAACATTTTCACCTCATGCTATATCAAAGGAAGATAAATTCAGAGAAAATGACTTCTTAAAATCTATGGACTGGCCATTCATCCAGGTAGTTTCCCTGCCTGTGGCTCAAGACGCTGGGTTAGGCTCCAGCTCCCCGCAACTGTAATAAGGACAAAGAGGTTTGGATAATAGAATGGATGGATGGATGACTTCTTAAATGTTTTAATTTAAAGATACAGTTCACAACTTTGAAGGCATTTTTAAAATTATTACAAAATTTCAGAACAAAATAAAGTTCAAATTGAAGAATAAAAAAAAAACAAAAAAACAGACTGCATCTGACCGAACTGGGCTAATAGTACTCAACATCCCACTTATAAATGTTGCAGGGAAATACAATTTCATAAAAACTTCAATGGCCAATTTTCATAAACAAGGCCTATTTATAATTTTCAGAACAAAATCAAGTTAAAAACAGAACAGAATTAAAAATGTTTGGTCTAAAATAATGAAATGTCACGTAGAATTACAGTACAATAATACTTTATAATCATATGAAGGGGTAGGCCACTGGTTCAACTTACCCCAGGACTTTTGGCTCAAATTAACCCACTCCTACCATTTTATCAAACTTGTATCATCCAGCAGTTTAGAGCTAACATCATGCTGACAGTGTAGCCTCATATTATAACTTCCTAAACACAAACACATGTGTGATCTTTTTTGGGATTTGTTTGTAATTGTTCAGACACAACATGCATGAGTTCCTGAACATACAAAAATCACTGTGAACGGCTTTTTTGAACCTAAATGTAATTACCAATTATATTCAGCAACTCATAATGTAATGAGTATAATGGTTAACTCTTCAAACATGTATGGTCATATCAACAATTTTGTCTAGAAACAAGGGGTGGCTCAACTTCCCCACAGGCTCAAATCACCCCGCTCTCCCCTATTGCTGTTTTTACTTTATTTTTTATCAAATACATTTTTATCAAATAAATGCAGCCTTGGAGACCTCTTTCAAAAACTAAAATCTCACCCACCCCAAATTTTAGAACGATAAGTGTATTTCCTTTGTAATTTGATTCTGGTCACTTGCACGTGGTTAGTGATTATTATTCAAGATCTGTGTTTATGTTTGTTTAAGTTGGTTAAAGTTGGCTTTCCCTGTCCTTCTCTTTTTTGTTTTTTTTCTTATATGTGTTGGAGGAACGTGTGGATATGTGTTGGAGATGAAGGAAAATGCTGTTTTGTGTGTGTGTGTGTGTGTGTGTGTGTGTGAGAGAAAGAGGTCAGATGTGTACATAACTGCCCAAAAAAACATCCTGAAAAAATGTATCATGGTTTCACGTTGGGTTTTGTTTAGGATCTAAAAAGGTTAGATCCATGTGCAGAATGTTTATTAAGTATAGATAATCAGAACAGAACAAAAACGTGGCAAAAGGTAATTCAAAACACAGGGAACAAGAAACAGGACGTAACAAAATCAATACTGCCGCCAAGACAGAGTGAGCATGGAATAAATAGTGATGGGATGATGAGTAAATTACCTACAGGTGATCATGATCAGAACAGAAATTACCTACAGGTGATCATGATCAGAACAAAAAGACTAGCAAAGACTATGGAAAACAGAGTTCAAAACATGTAACAGTGAAACGGGAAGAGCACCCTCAAGTGGTCAGTCCAAGGCACCACAACCAGACACTGTGACATAACCCCCCCTCTACGGAGCAGATACCAGACGCTCCACCAGAAAACATAAAAGTTCAGGAGGGAGGTGGAACTGAGGCGGACCAGGGGGAGGGACGGCGGGCCAGGACCATGCAATGGAAGGGGGTCAGGGCTCTGGAGTGGACTCAGAGGGCTCCCGGACTGGAGCGGGCTCTGGAGTGGACCCTGTGAGCTTCCGAACTTGAGCGGGCCCTGGAGTGGATTCTGTGGGCTCCCGGACTGGAGCGGGCTCTGGAGTGGACCTTGTGGGCGCCCGGACTGGAGCTGGCTCTACTGTCCTCCTTCTCGCCCTCAGCTGCTCAGTGGGAGTCAGAAAGGCAGGGGTGGTGGGAAAATCACTGCGGAAGGGTTCTGATTGGCCTCCAAACTGTCTGCCTGTTCTATCACGGCCAGGTGATCCGTCCATGTCACTGCTCCACCATGGCCTCCTGACCTGTGGTGGTAACCTGCTCCCTTCTGGTTGCCTGCTTAACCGGCTCCACCCTGCTGGTCATCTGCTCCACCATGGAGATCCTCGGTCCCACCTGCTCCAGGCCTGGTCCTCTCTCATCTTGCACTGTCGTCACTCCTCCTTTTATCCTTCCGGAGCTCCTCCATGGGACTCGAGAGTGGTGAGTGGCACAGGTGTCACTCATTATCATTTATTCCACCGGCCTTGCTCCACTCCCACGGCTCTCGGCCCCGCCCTACTCGTCACAATTACATTTTAAAATATATTCATATAGAAAATTGTAATCATTTCACTATATTTCTGTTTTTGCTATATTTTCAAATAAATGCACAAATGTTTTTAATTATTTGAACATTTTTAACTATATCTTGAATCCCATATTTTCAGTTTATACTGTATTTTTTTAAAACCCTGTTGTATTTCGCTAAATGTTCAGAGTTCCGATGTTCAGAAAATTTCTTAACCAAAACGTTTGTGAAAAGCATTTTGATAATGTAGTCAATGGATTGAAATATAAGTGTACTGCACTTCATGTGCTTTTCACATTAGGAACTGCACACCAAAAGTTAATTCTGCTCCAGATCTGTGTGTTTACAATAAGACTTATTGTCCTAATGTATCCAGTTTGAATTTTAGGTTTTTGAAACTGTTGCAAATTAATAAAACATGATGATTTAACGCAGCAGCTGGACATAGACTGAATTATTCAACCCCTGTCACCCTGACAAAGATGCTCTCTTTTCTTTCTCTCCCCACTGTCTCTTCAGTTCCCCTGGCTCTGCTGTTCCTCCAATCTCTGACAAGGAGAAGATGCTGTCTGCTCTGACTTTCCAAGAGCCTAACACCACAGTCAGGTCATTTTTGATGTTACTTCACTTTTATTGATCGGCCTGTCTTTTTCATCCTTGCTTTGCTCGTTCTCTCTCTCCCCTCATTTCTTACTGTAGCCTTAGGATCCTGCTTTCCCGAGGGAAGTGTATTTCAGATGGTGGTGGCACAGGCTCTGAACTATGGCCGCTCTCTATCCTTCTGAGGTTAACAGTATCTCTCCTAGCTGCTTGACGTCATAAGCACTTAAATTTATGGCTTATGAATCATAAAGATTAATGTGTTCACAGAAAGAGGAATTAAGGAAGCCTGCATCTACTTCAACTGCTTCATCCCAAAAGAGAATTGGGACTGGATTTAAACTGACATGGGTGACTGGATAAGCAGAAAGACAAAGAGATTCATGATTGTGTTTTGATTTACAGGTATGTTCCCATAATGCACTGCAGTACTGGGGTCACCTTAGAGTGTACCATAAAGCAGTGTATGTAAACAGAGCTTTCGGTGGATTTTGAGTTTAACAATGTGAATTTACACCTTTGTGGACAGATGGGATCGTTTTAGATCTCTGGTCTTTTGTGTGTGTGTATTTCAGCAGCCATCTTGACTAGCCCTGTAAAAGCAGTCAAGATACTCCCACTGCACTAGAGACTAAAAATGCCAACAAAGAGGTGAAACCCCCCCCCCCCCCCCCCCCCCCCCCCCCACCCACACACAA